AGTGAGGATATATTGAATGGTTTAATGACGAAACCTCTCATATCATCAGATGTAATATGACGACAGTTTCTGGATTCAGTTACAACCTTGGCTCCATCCATTCGAATAAACTTGTTTTAAGTAGCATAGGCCAAGATAGTTGTCACGTGGCACCGTGTAATACTGGTCCCAAATTTTACGCTCTGTCTATCTAGGAAGTTAAATCTAGTTTTGCATGCTGTCTGCAAATAGCATAAATTTATTGAATATTAAAGTGCTCTCAGCACTTCTTGTGCTCTGGATTCGACATGCTGTGTGCACTTACTGGTTATGCGTTCCGGTAACCGAGGTGTTGAGGCCTAATCAATACGCCTAGATTACTGCCCATACAGGGTGGCATTGCCTGTGTTACTACTCGCTTCTTTCACAGTGTCACTTTTCAAAAACAAAGTGCAGATCAGACAGTTTAGTCATTTTGCATGTTATTACGCTGTAATTGGGGTAAATCCGACGGACAGACGTCATGTCTCCAACTGTCATCAGAAACGAGATCATGTTTTCGAAGTTTTGGCGCTTCTGCTTTGCTACCAAAACCTTGACGAATATCCCGGCTCAACATTTGCGTTGTCCCAAGGCAGAGGACCCAGCATGTCTTGCTGCGTTTTTCTCTCACCGTTCAAGTCCACCGGATTGTAAAGAAGTAAATGACTTGAAACTCCCTCTGAGCACCGTGTTTGACAGCAGTGATATTTATTTGAATGTTCCGCTCTTTTTGTAGATATTTTCCTTCGGCTGTGATATGTGTGAAATTGTTTTGCCGTTCAGCCGTTTTCGACTAAACATTCATTATTTGTCTCCTTTTTGGTCTAGGCCTATGACTGATACTCCGCTTTGTTATTTTGCGGTGCCGTGCCTTTGACAACAAGACGTTGGTTTCTGGTATTTTGCCTGGCTCAACCCAAGGTCACGCTGTAAAGCGACTTCTTGTCCTTCTACTGCCTACTCGAGACGCTTATAGTCTGACTTTATTCTTATAGATGGAGTTTGGGTCCCATTTTGTTTGGAACATCCTTGTTTTCTCTTAGGTCTTTAACAGCCGCATTTGGTCACACGATTTCGCTGTATAATTCGCCTTCTGCGCCATAAAACTGCTTGGTAAGCATTATTGCAGGGCAACATTGTTGGGGTGCTTTTTTAATTTTCATGTAACTCGTTGTTATTTAATAGTGCACAAATTCGTCACGTCATATTGCGTTTCGATATTGTTGAAATATGGCCCTGAACTGTGCGCCGCTCAAGGAAGGTTGAGGAACTACGCAGGAGTACACGGTAACTTGTCCGAATTGCATTAACCTGGTTCTGTGGAATCGTTTCCCGCCTTCAGACTGAAATACTTGGATTTCGGTCTCAACACTGATGTCGATCTGTTTACCTTCGTTCTTTTCCATGGCACACAACAAGCCTTATCACCTCCTTTAATGTCTGATCGACCGACAATAAGATATACAAACTTAGACACCCCCACAAGAGTGCTCCGTACAGATCGTCTACCTTTCGAGCAGCTCTGTTGCGTCTGAAGCCATTCTGTCCACGGGAAACATAAAATATCTATTGCAACTAAAAGCAGACTCAAAGCCTAGATCCTGGTGTTCAAAATCAGTGACCTTACAACAGTGATTAAAAGGTTCTGGGAGTTAAATCTTTTCTGTCACACTCATTAAACATTTATGTTTTACCTTGTTCGAATACTACTTGAAAAAATCTATAATTATGCCCACCCAGATGAGTATCATTGCCTTTCAGTGGGACGGTTTTGCAACAGTCGTTTAGCTGAGTGTGTAAGTTCTACTGAACCACCACAGTTATCCTGCAGTCAGGAAACTGGAAGTCATTTTAATCTCCTTTGATCAGCTGCTGCGGTTCAGGTTACTGCATTTGCAGCATGATACCCCTCATTTGCCCATACACTTAGGGCCTGTTGGTAGCCGTTAAAACTACTCTGAGTTCCACAATTAGACTGGGATGAATCTGGAAACCCGCTGCTCAAAGTGTCCACCTTCTCCGGTCCAACTAATTCCACCTGCATTCTCACCCCTTCGCCATTTGCATGCTAATATATGGACATGAATGGAAAAGCTGCTCTGTCTTCAGCATACGCTTGCCCATGATACTCTTCAGCGCAGCCTCACCACTATCGCTGAACACTTTACTCATCAGTAATCGAGCGAGATAAAAATATCTCAGACAATTGCAACTGACAATCTGGGTCAAGCGTATTAAAACCATCGCAGATGTCAATGGCAGAGTTTTGACAGACCTCTAAGACGATGACTGCCTTGTTTGTTTCCTTGATGTGGACAAAAGAAACTCAACCCCGTGGATCAATGCCTCTGATCGATGAGCACATCGATGCGATAAATATGTGGCGGAGCAATATTAGAGCTTCAAGGTGTATACTGCATGCACACAGTTCTGCTGCTTTCGAATGAATACATCCATAACTACAGGCTCCCTCAGTGGACTTTAAAGACTCTCCAGCAGTTGTTGCATGAACGCAGCATTCAGCCTCTCCACAAGCACGAAGAAACTCTACGCCAATAAGCGAGATAGCCATGTCCTACGGATGGTCAAGGTAGTAAACGGTCTAATAACAGTCATCTGACTGCATTAGATTCAGGCTTTCCTCCTCTCCAGGTGACATATGCTATGCTTAAGTGCAAACCTGGGGGCAATACTTCCGGTTAACCATCACACCAGTTTATGCACACTAGTCCTGCTGATATCCTCCGTTTTATTAACTCGCAACACATACGTTCCAGTGAACCAGCAGGTGGGACTGATATGAGCTGTCCTAAAGAAATATATAATTTGAGTAGATTTGTACTCACACTCACATGAATGATTTACGGCTGAATATTCAGGAACAAACAGGATTATTACCATGGGTACGGTACATGAACCAACTAGCTTGTCGGGCAGATGTTGGATACTGGAATAGGGGGTTAGCTACTAGACGCGCAAATCAACATCAGCCAAGAGCAATCAAAACTGTGATTAACGACACGACCTACGCTCCCTAGTGACTACAGTAAAGAACTACATGTCAACATGTGGTTAAGTTAAAATTTCTAAGTGACTTTTTAAAATTGAATCGGGCAAACTTCCCAGCCGTGCTGATTTAGGACCAGCCAGATTCAGGAACTGCCCCAGGGCAGACATCTTCCTTCACTAACAGAGAAGAATCAAATGCCGAAAGGGTGAAAGTGAGCGGTCCTGACAACATAAACTGAAGATAACAGAGTGAATGCAACCAACTAGAGATCTGCAGCCCTGCTACCGAAAAACTGTCATTTAGTAACTCTCAAGCGAAGAGTTTCACCACTCACTCACACTAACTCGGTCTCGAAATAGGATGGTCCTTTGTTGTCAACTTGCTGGCCACCTGGAACGATGAGACGACTAACTACGATAATTGCCAGGCACTCCACACTATCTTCCTTGATCTGGACAGAGTTTCTTACGATGTCACAAAGGATATTGTGCTGATGAAAACTTTGTAAGTCGAAGCTAGTAGGGCGTCAATCTCGTTGTTCAGGATGATATCAGAGAACGCATAATTTTAGAACGAGGAAGACGGGATCAGATCTTCATGGAGAGCTTACGGTTCCTATATGTCCCTGGGAGCGATCTTTGATTGACACCAGTTTCCAGGTCTCGTCTCTGATCTGATTATTCGTAGAAAATATTAAAATACGGCAAACAGTGGATGGAAGGGAGGGCTAACAATAGTTACAAGGTGGCCCTAATCTACTGGAAAATTAGAAGACAAAAACTGGTCTATACTCCAATCTAGGATGCTGTATCCTCATGCACCTGGAATTAGTAGAATCAACCATACGGTGATGTGTCACATCATTATACGTTCAGCCAAGAAGAGATATACAGGCCTAAAATTTCTGGGCAAGTCAGATGCTATCATGAAACGTGAATAAATGATTGCAATGGCAAGCTTTGTGGTACATGGCATCGGAAAGTAACTTGAACCTCACACTCCAGAGCTTTTCTTCACGGCCTCTGAAATGTTTGCGAGGTCACGACATGAGGTTCCCGTAGGATTACCTTGTCGTCTGTCTAGGAGCAATTAAACGCTCCTAAAGAACGTGAGGGAAGCTCTACAAGATGTGTCGTGACTGCCGCAGGAAAAGAGGTGATCTGGTTACAAAAATAGAGGTTGCTGGATAAGCCAATCATGTTTTTAAACAGCTATTACAAATCGAAATCGACAGCTGCATGTGAAACAAACGACAGCAGCAAACCAAAGGGATAATACCAGGTTCAATGCCAACGTCTGTTGACTAAGAGCACACACCATGGAAAACAGCCACGGCACCCACAGTGAGGTCAGTTAAAGGGTCGAGGGATAATCACATTGTCATATATGGCCTATGGCCAACCAACTCAAGGGGTCTCTGACTTCACTGACCTTTCATTACACTAACGTACTATTTTACTGTCTCAACATTGGTTTTTCACTTATACTTACTTCCATTACCTACGGGCACTTTTTCTCTCTCCTATAACACATACTTGCCTTGTATACGCTAACTCATGGATGTAAGTCTTCACATAAATTGTTATGACTTTTTCAGCTTTACGCTACCACACAGACTGTGCTACATGAAGACCAATGATATTCCCAGCATATATATGGCTTCTTCAGTTATCCAGTCTACGAACAGTAGAGAGAAGCAACTCACAAGCGAACCAATACACAACCTCTAAGATCCGGAAGACGGACAGAACTTTGACTGTTCACAAAAAGGACTAAATCTGAAGACATATGAGTCCAATGACCGACGGTTCGCCATACTTATCTTAAGGACAGTTAGTTTTGCGAATGAAATACAAAATTATTTCAATTAACGACTCCTCCCTACGGATTCAGAAACAAAGCCATTTAGTCATCTGTCTTTTCACTACCTTGATAGTGGCCTTCATGTTTGTTTTAAGTCTTCACTGTGTCACATAACCTTGAATTGCTATGTTCAATGCAATTGGGCGATAATTAAAGTTAAAAGGTTGATGGGTTTTTCTCACTTACTATCGAGTCCCTTCTTGTCACTATGAAAAACAAATTCGAACCACTTATTTGTCCTGTTTGCTTGAAGAATGTCTATTTTGCAGAAGAAGTTAGGGCTATGGGTCGTGCATTTCATAGACAATGTTTTAAATGCTGTAAGTAACCATCAAGCAGTTGACTTTCACTTCAGGTCAGTGTTCCAGGGGGTTGGACAGTTTTACTGCAAATGACCACAAGGGTTCTTTGTATTGCAAGAACTGTTATGCAAAAAATTATGGACCTCATGTCTATGGTTTTTCAACAAATGGCGTATCAGTTAAAAGCTCTTATGATCTTCGGTAAGTCTGTTGTGAAATTGAGTTATCGTCTCTGACTGACTACATGACATACTGATTTTGTGCATATATAGCTGTTATAAACAGGGATTAAAAGAATATACTGGCTTGCTTATTTAAAAAAACTCGCAAAAAAACAGTATTTTTGAGTCGTTTTAGCGTATTGCAGTGTTCTGTGTAACAGAAAGTTTTGTTTGTTTTCATGTTGTTTACGGTACCAAAGGTATGGTGGTGGTGAAGGAAATATATTCTTCGCACTGACATAGACAAACGCGCTTCTTTGGTGATGTTGTAGCCAGCCATGTAGTTGTCAATTAAAAGTTTCTTCACGTGAAAGACATGTTAGTGTTGTCATGCTGACATGCGTTTACGCTACGGCAGTTTATGTCAGCTCAACTGTTATCACAACATCTATGGATATCCACTTGGAAGTTAGTTAATATAGAAGAAATGAGTGTAATTTATTCATAATCAAGCAGAAGTGGATAGTAGACAGCTAAAAATTCTTTTTACCTTTCCCCAACGGCAACATTCAGTTGTGAGGGTACGCAGTGATACATTACCTTAAATGCTCTTATTTCTTTCCTGATTTCAAAAGTTGATGGAACTGAAAATACACTTATTTTTATGAATAAATCGAAAAAAACGAAATGCACGCAGCAATCTTGTGCACATCCGTACAGTAGGCACTGAGGTACACCTATTGTGTCAGAGCTAATGGTGCTACCTGGCTGGCCAAACCTCGGTAGATGGGTTGGCATTTTAGTCCGTGACCCATTAGTTGAGAATCATCTCCTTAAACCAATCATCCACAGCTCCTCATTTTTATAAATAACCTAAATTTAGATGTTGTTTTTCGTATTTAAAAATGGTAGGCTGCAGCAGCCTATATTTGTCTTTCTTTGTTTTTTGGAGTCGACAAGCATAAATTTCCCATTTTTTTTACCTCCAGTCCCGATATATATAGCACTAGTGAAAGATGAAATGAAGAGACTTTACCTACTTGACTCCAGCGTTGCTTGCGTTATTAAACGTGAGTTAGGGAAACTTTTGTTTTCCCTTTTGCGTGGTTGAGGTCCCTGAGACGAAGGGAATCAATGGTTGAAGATACTTGATGATATGGCTGAAAATCAGTCATAGTGGTGCAGATGTACTCAGTTCTTGACTTCTAAAGCTTAAATATTCACAATAAGCTTTATCTTCAGATTGTTTATTCTCTCAAACTATTTTGTCTACTTTGGTATCACTCCTTTTCTATCCACGTATTCTTTGCGTACTTTTATGGAGTGTGGTAAATTCAGCCGATGAACTCCTGTGATAGGTTCTACGTCGATTTTGTCATTCAGTCAATCAGTCGCACTTTATGTTTACGTCTAAAAATCAGGAATTCAGCATATCCCGAATCTTCAAGATGTAGGCCGAAAAAACCATGATTACCACCTTTTTTTGTCCATTTTCTATTTTTAATGAGTGAAGCAGCCCACTGCATTCAGCACACATCTACTTACAGTCCATGAAACTCCACGAAGCTGCTTGGATATCTTTGGTCATTAAGGTGGAATTGATCTCCGTTTTCATTTATTATCTTGTATGACTCTTCAAACTATATATTTTATGAAAGATATCTTTTTGCTGAGCGTACTAACATGAAAATTGATGTTTTAAACTGATAAGAGTGTGAAAAAATAATAATTGATCACATATGCCGAGTTTACTTTGAAAATTGAGTTTTCTTCATTTGAATTTCCCATATAAGCGGCTACAAGTGACAAAAAGCAGCTGAAAAACTACGACTGTCCTCTTTGCTGTCATGTTTAACCGAAGTAAAAGGAACAGTTTCTCCGGAAACGGGTTGTTCTTTTACCACTGTCTTGTACGAGATGATTTTTACAACCACCTTTGTAATCAAATAGAAATAAAAATCAGTCTGAGTTTACATTTGGCACTCCCAAATGTGAGATAGGCATTCTATATTGCAAATTTTTTATGGTTTCACTTTTGCATCTGAGGAGTATTCCTTTTGTAGCTTTCACATCAGTGGGCCATCGGCAGCATCAGAGTTAAAGACGCTTCTGTATCTAACCTGGTGCTTGGTTTAGGTCGTGGCATTATTCGTGATCAAGCTGAAGAATGTAGCACTCAAATTAAACAAGCATATTCACTGATTGTGTTAAAATGTATCGAGAAAACATGGAGGGTAGCTAACAACAGCTACATTATTTGAAAAGGTGTGAAATTAAAAAAAAACAAGATTTAACGGTCACAAACCGCAGTGAACAGCTATTGGAAACTTGAACGGAAACTAATTTCGCTTGGTAGATATAATGGCTTTAAAATTATGGACTATGGAAAACAAAAATCTACTTTTTGATCACATTCAAGTTGTTTTAGTTAACATTCTAACCGAATTTTTATATGGTTATGAGTTTTAGTCACAGAAAATGATATGGTATTGTTCCGACTGAGACTCGTACCCATCGATTCAAGTGTCAAAACGTTATCCAGTGGGCCACTGAGGTACAATAGACAAATCTTGTGCAGGAAGTATCAGATGTTGTTACATAGGTCCAGCGATTCGACCCTGTATAGCAACAAAAGATTACGGATATCAAGCAACAACCTGATCACACATTTACTCATCAAGTCAATTTATACAGAACCGAAGAATAGGAGGAGGAATAGAACAATAATTAAGGCAATAGGGGGTTAAACTTGAAACAGATGCAAACAAAAAAGGAATAGTGATATAGTTGATCCTAATCTTGGTAAGAAAATAGACTTGACCAAGGTAGATGTAGTGTAGGAACAAATTATTTTTGCACGAAAAGAGTTTATCTTAACTTGCCTATGAGTATCACTGCCATAAATCTAAGAAGCGGAAGTGGAAGTATTGAGCTATATGGCAGAAAGTGTGCTCCTCGACTGCATACCACTCAACAACCATCTATGTGCGGTTTTCTACTGAATGTATCTGTAAGAAATAGGAAGGAACTGAGACTTGACGATGCCTAAACGCAATCTCCGCCTATGCACCTGCTGACTACAGTTTGGATGGTGCAAAAGATGAGTTGTGTGAGAAGCTGCCAGTTTCGCCACATGAATTAAACGTTTGGATGTCAAATAGAGAAGCTGAGCCAATCGGAGAGGCGTCTTGAGGGGTATTTACGGAATCTCACGCTATCGAAGCGACAACGATGATCATTCGCTGGAATTTTTTCCTGACAATCACTTGTTTCTGGCCAATACTAATCTTATGCACAAGGAGAGCCGTCGTCTCACGTTGGCGTCCGCCGACATCAAATCAAAGGTGAACTCAGATAGATTATATTGCCATAACTCATCATTAGAGGATTGCAGCTCTTTCTGGAGTATCTTTTTAGACTCCAATCACACGCTAGTATAGGCTCGTTTATATTTGGGCCTTACTGGTCATAAGAAACAGGCGACAGTATAGTCTGTCAATTGTCGATTGGAAAAACAGTACCCCAAATACGTATTGAGGCAAGAGTTAGCTAATCATTCATTTGAACATGACTGCAATGCTTATCCTGAGGAAACCTAGCGCGATATTAAGTCCATTGTAGAAACAGCGGTCAAGACGATTGGTAAACTACACTCAAAGGTTAGCAAACATCACTGGGTTTCCACAGCTTCAGTGTAACAGATTGATGCGAGAAGACTGATTCTGACTGGGTCTGACCATGATGAAGAGTGAAAGCAACTTACATGTAAGTCGACCAAGAGTCTTCATGTCAACCGTGAGCATTGGTCGGTGGCGAAAGCGAAAAAGATGAAGAAGGCATGAGTATCGGGTAATACTTGGCAACTATTTAGACCTATTAAGGATACCAGCAAGAAGAAGACGATGGTTAAGGAGACCGTCGCCGGGAAGAATGTGATGCTAATAACCTCCCAGGACAGGTGGCTAGAAGTTGGACAGGACACTTTGAAGCACAGTTCAACTGTTGCTCAGCAACGCTTGAGTTGCCAAACATCCAGCTAACAGTTTGCCAGCCTGAGTTTTCAAGTCTGGAAGTAGGAGGCATTAGGTAATGTATGGAAGTCATAGGTAGTGGTGTCAGACTGATCTACTTCAACGATCATCCCAGTGTATATGAAGAGAGAGGTCTTCCTGTGACAATCATGGAGGGAATTAGTCTTACCAATATTGTGTCCAAGATGTTAGGATCCATAATTGTCCGATACGTAAGTGGAGCTTGAGAAGAGCAAACTGGAGGAAGATAGGGAGGTTTCAGACCTGCACGAGAGTGCCGTTGACCTGATTTCCTCCCTTCGATAGGTCTTAGAACACAGACATGCTTGTTGGCCAAAGGCCAACACATGCCATATTTTTAACGTGAAGGCATCATTTGTCTCTGTCGATCGTGAGATGTTGTGGCGGTGTTCGACTGTGAAGAGAGTACCGAGAAAGTGTATAATGCTTATCAAAGCTCTCTGCTGGAACTCATGCAGCCTTATAAAGGCTTACTGAGAGCCGTCACGTGAGTTGATGACAGCTATTGGTGTTTGCCAAGAATGCCTACTGTGACCGTTCCTATTTAATTTCATCATAGTCGCACTGATGGATATAACCTTCGGTACGTGTAACTTTACAAGGATTGACCTGCTCTCTGGAGGCCATCTGGTTAACATTGAGTATGTAGAGGGTATTGTCCTGCTAGTTGAAGACAGTGACAAAATGCAGGGTCTTGTGAATGCGTTGAGCAGAAATTTGATTATGTTTGTCATGCGTTTGACTGGCACCTGTGAAATGTAAGATGATGCTAGAGACTCGTCTGCTGCAAGTGTTCTCAGTTTAATGATAGGGAGTGAAGTGCTAGCATGTATCGTCCACTCCTCTTATCCTGTTTGGAGAGGGAAGGCCTGTTTGGCATTTGCAAACTTGCGTCGTCTCTGTCGCCGACTGGCGAGATATCCGACTATTTATTGAAAATGAGTATACTGCGCTGAAGTTTGTTCTGTCCTCTTTTGCGGCTGTGATC